AACACTGTGATTCTTTACATTGCCATTGCAAGTAACTTTTATACCTGGATTAATAGATGCAACTTTTACTTGCTTTGGTGAAGCTGCAGGGCATAATCCTTGCTTTATTAAAAAGGCTGTTTGTTAAGCAACTTCAAACTCCTGCCTTGAATCTACCTCAATGTTTTTAAGCCTTTCATTGGCTAGGCAGTTGCATCTTTTCCATCTGTTGTCAGGCCATTGTTGTAGTTGTTTTCAATTACCATGCAAACATTAATCCAAGAGTTCTCTGTTTCACAGTATTGAAAATATTGCACCTAGTTTTTGTTATATTTCCTGGCTTCTCTTGTCATCAAATATAAAATTAGATTTTTTTGACTCTCAAAAGTCTCATGATGGGACTTCTCTATTAGAATGTTAGACACAACTTTTTATTAAATTAAACTACTAATGGAACATTTTGTAATAAAATCTCTAGTAACATATTTTAAGAATTTCAAGCAAAATTGTTGAAATAAAAAACTGCAATTGTAGGTGACAGTGGTAAACAAAAATATGGTAGAATTCAGAAGAGCTTTTCTAGCATCACCAAAGGAGTAATACACTCAAGAAACTGTTGTAGCTCTTAGTCATTACGATCTGCTAAAAGATGTTTATAGTTTTATATTGAAAGAGTCAAAATTAATGCATATCAAACATGTAGGCTGCTTCTCAATATGTGTGCTTGTGCGTTGTCATTTGCTTGTGTACTCAAAAAACATCATCAGCCTCAGCCCTAGTACTATTCCAGTTCACAAGAACTCAAGACCGAGAACGAACAAAGTCCCCGGTTGTTGTGCTCGCCCCTCCCTCTTTACTGAGTATTTATCAAAGCAGACTTGTCCGTTTATAAGAATGACAGCATCTAGGGGAGCGCTCACAAAGCTATTACGTTAAAAGTTCCCTTTTCTGATGCCGTTTTTCTATAGAATTATGTTAAAAGATCATTTTAGGCAAGAACATTATACTTTGAAGCATCATTATATGGTCCATTTAAAAAGAGTTCCGAATGTGAGAGGACCCCAGCAACCAGCGGAGCTCTCTTGGCATAGCAGTGTTTGAAATACTGCTGATGTATGCTCTTTGTTTTATTTGGCAAAATGTTAATATGATTGTGTTTATTTGAATGTGTTAATTATGATTCCCCCACTAAATGAAAAAGTAAGAATTTATTATTATCTAGAGACTGTTAATAACAGGAGGTGAAATACAGCTCCAGACGAGCCGAGCATGTGGTGACGTCACGAGTACGCTTCTGTTCCAATTAACCATTCTCTTCAAATCTATACTTTCCTGTGTTTTTCTCAAAAACATACTTGGCAAGGACATGAGTCCGTATTTTACTGGATTATAGTTCAGTAAAATATCACGCTGCATTACTGATATTGTAAATAATACACCACCTGTTTCAGATAGAGCAGTCTCCTTTCCTGGCAACTGTAGATTTTAGTAATGTTCTAATGTTTAGTGTAGATATGACTTGTTGATAATACAGCTCATTATATATTTAAATGGGCTTTCAGTTAATTGCTTGCATATAAAGATGCAGAAAAGCTTCCCTTTCCTCTTGATAAAATAAATTCTTTGTTTTGAAAAAAATTAGACTTTTTTTTTACAGTACTAACATTTTTTTGCACTAAGCACTTCACATATTACAGACGGCTTCTGCAGTGACAGTCTCTGTTTTACTGTGAACATTTTAGCAATAAATAAATAAAGTTTTCCTAACAGAACATGACATATTGTGTAATTCAACAGTCTGCACAAACTGAAATATGGTTTGCCAAGCCTATTCAAGGACTCCTGATGCCTTTTATTCATAAATACCTCTATTAGGACATCCTGAGCAGGATCTGTCTTTGCTAAGCCATGTTTGTTCAGTTTGCCAATTAAATCAAGGCAGCTGAGACATGTATAATTGGTATTATTACACTGCAAAAATGCAACTGAATTTTCAACATTTGTGCCGTTTTCCAACTGGTTTTAAACTACTAACAGAAAATATTACAGGAAAAAGAAAACAAGTTTACTTCATCATATCATATTATACCTTAGAATAATAAACTATTTTTCATAGAGCTGCCTTATCTCTACTACTGTGAATCTTAACTATGCAATAGCCCAGTAATCCATTAAACATGGAAAAGTTAATACTAGCTGTGAAGAACGTTCTTGAATTTAGAGCATTCATTATCTGGGTGTGTCAAAGAGTATTATAATAGTCAATAGTACTTGATAGTACAAATATTGTTATTTTTTATTGGTCTGAATTAAATAAAGATAAATGTTCTATATCAGGGATTCAATAAATTATTAAAGTATATAAAGTATTAAGGATATCAATATTAAGAATTACTTTGATGAGTCAAATTGATTTATACTGGCTATGGAAATTAATGAAATACTCTAACTATTAAGACTCAACTAGTTATCATTTAACCCTTTATATTTCAAAAGTATCCTTCCCTAGAAAGAAAGGGAAGAACCAACTAGGGCGGTTATACTGTCTTTTTAAAGGATTTAATAGATTAAGGATTTGATGGATTGCCTCTGGTAATTATGAAGTTCAAAAGAAAAAGATCAAGGAAACTATGTTCCAGCTGAAATGTGCCGATAACTGAGAGCACAAAAGCTTCAAAGGTGAACTGAAGGTAATAAAATGCAATAATTTTTAACCACACTAAATTAGAGAAATGATTCACTTTCTTTTAAAAGCAGGTTATGATTGAATGCATTTTGAGCCACTGTCTACACTAATGTAAGCTGTAACATTTTGTTACTCTACAGAAAGTTTTTTTCTAAATCGACCTTTATAAATGATAATTCAATGAGCTGCACCTCTGTGAAATATTTCAATTCTAGAAAACATTTAGCTTTCTTTATTGTGGAAGGATCCTAACCTCCTTAAGTGTTTCCTTTCTGTTAATTTATCCTTGACTAAAACAACTAAACAAATGAAAGCACAGTAAGATGAATGCTATAACTGCATTCCTCCATTGAACCTATGCTTACTGAAATTGTCAATATTTGTTTGTTGCTGAAAGTCATTTTAAAGCATTCACAAAAACACACAAAAACTGAGTTAACATCAGTTTTTAGGGTTGTATCATTTCAACTTACCCTCTATCACCTAAAGGGACTATAAAAAAGAAGTAAGACAAAAAACTTAATATTTTGTGATTCAGAAGACTAAATTGAAAACTAGATGTGACTTGTATTATATTTTGGTGTCTTGAAGCAACATTTCATTACTTATGAAATACACAGTTGGTTCCCATCAGCTTTGACATTAAATCAAAATGTGACTTTTGCCCATTAAAATATATTCTCTTTCAGTTCTCTAATCCACTCGGTAGTGACAGATCAAACTATAACACTTCACACAGAGCTTCTGCTTACATCAAACTAACACATAACCTAATAAAAACTAAGTGCAGCACTTTGTCAGTTTTTAGACTTTGAACTTCCTATTTCACATTAAACTTTAAGTATAAAGATAATATTGTGTCTTTTGATCTCCCTACAGAATGATGGTGCTGGATAACGGAAGCCTGCGGCTTTCTAATGTGACCAAAATGGATGCTGGGATCTATACATGTGTAGCCAGAAACCAGTTTGGAGTAGCAAGCAGCTCTGGAAATCTTTTTGTTAAAGGTGAGGTCTTGAACTGCTTTCACCGTTTCTCCTTATTTATTGGCTACAGCTGATAGTAACTGCATATTTCCATGTGGGTGATGGTGGCTCAGGAGGTTCGTCCTTAAAATAGGAGGTTGCCAGAGATTGCCCTCCCCTATCCATCCTTAGACAATTATGTCTAATATTATTAACTATAGATTCCAATGATATTTGAGAAAACAAAATTTAAAAAGTCAATAGAATCTAATCCTCAGAAGCGGCTAGTAGGTGTGTCTGTGCTACCCACCACATCTAAAATTCACCCGCGTTTGCAGGTGTTAATGTCAGCCCTGTTTATGGGGTAAGAAAAAAAAAAAAAAACACATTTTGACCACCATCCAGTCTAGCATGCAAAAGACCATCCATTCGGTAAGCCCCCCGAAATGCCTGGCCTGCACAGCACTACTGAATAAACCTCAGACTGAAGTTGCTAATTGCTATTGAGAAATGCTATAATGAAGCTTTTGTTGGGTCCTGTTGTCTTTGTTAATCCTCACTATAATTAAGTAGGAATCTGACACCTGCTAAAATTCCAGACTTTTACAGATAGCCTCCATTTACTGGTTAATAACCTTATAGTTTGTGTTTCCGATATGGGCTGTTTGAATTTAGTGATACACTACTTTGAATTTTGGCTGGAACTTCTCAATAAACCCATTAGATGCATTCGCTATCTCACAATCAGACATTTAGGTTTGCACAGTTTGAGCATTCTTCACATCATTCATTGCGTCTACAGTACATTCAAACTAAAAGATGCTTTAAATGGTAACACAATGTTCCAGTGCACAGCATTTGCATGTAGACTGGCATATGTTTAATTATTTATGCAAAGTGATTATACTGATATTAATTTCCTTTCATTTTAACATCAAAAGTTTGTTACAGTACAATTGATTTTAAAGGGAAGATGGGTATGTCCAATCGTGTTGGGGAGAAAAAATACTTGGTTTTTGTTTGTATTTGGTTGTATTGAAATTGCTTCGTTATTAAGATAAAAGTGGCCCTCTGTATGAAGATAATGATTTGTTGAGGAGCAAATACTACATGGCCAACTTCATTCGAGACAGACAACTGAGACTGCCAGAAATTATGATGTTCTTTGTAATGGAGGCCGGACAGCAGAGCTCTCAGCTGGACTGGCTTACAGTAGAACTTACGTTCAGAAATCAGCTACATGCTGGCCTTACTTATGTTTGTTCAGTTAAAACAAGTTGTCACGGTTGAGTGGAGGTTTTGAGGACCCAAATGCAGAGATCAGGAGGCAGAGGGGAGTTTTGCAGATTTAATCAGGTTACTTAGGCCAAATCCAAAAAAATCCCAAAAAGAAAGAACCAAGAAATCAGCAGACACCAGGAAAAAACTCACATGGGGAGCAAGACACAAATAAGCAACAAAACAACAAACCAGCACTGAGTAACTGCAGAGGTTGTGTATATTTGGGGAGACTGTACCAAAACAGGCTAATCAACAGATTGGGAGCAGGTGTGGGCAAGACCATCTAGAAGGAAGCCAAGGGGAAAGAAAACAAGCCCAAGGGGGCAATAGATAGTAACTAAAGAACTCAGCACTGGCAGAAAACAACTACAAAGACACAGAACACAAAGAAACTAAAAATAAACTCAAGCAGAGGGTAGAACCCTGACACAAGTATGCTGGTGAAGATTCTCAATCATCATTTTTTGGCCTGACACAGTAGAATTATATTCTGCTGCATGAATAAAAGCATGTAAGACACTGTAGTCTTTTTGTTTGTATTATCTTCATAGTAATGTCTCAGAATCCAAGTAGATATAGTTACAGTGCTCACAGTCTATAAAGTTACACCTGCGTCACAACACCTGATGATTACTATACTATTGGTCTGGGTGTGTTCAAATGATTCTTACAGAAGCATAATATATTTATTCTATTGTTAGATTACCACATTACCGGTGCTCTTGTGGCTATCTTGAGACAGTAAGCAAGGCAACATATGGTATCTACAGCAAAAATACAAAATATGTTTTAAATCTAGGTAAGTGTAGTATATTACACTTCATCTGACAAAGGAACTAGCAGAATAGAGAAAAAGAAATGGAAACAAGGAAAGAAAATTGCAGACCTAGGGCTGCATCTGAGGAACCTACCAATCTACAGGATCTGGAGACTCTGCTATTGTGTTGAAAAAGAAAAAATACCAGCTTCACCACAGAGGAAGCCTCAGACTATGCTTTCTGTGTTATATTTTATTAGATTGCATTCATTTTTTGCACTTTTCAACTCAATGTACAACAAAGCAAGGCAAGTGGATTTTCTTTTTGTTTAAACGAAGGAGCCACAGGCTGTTGGTGTACATAGACTGGGCTTAGCTGTCAATGAGGAAAGGATTTCAAGAAGATGCTGGTGTATAACAAAGGCCTTAGAGGTTTTGCTATTTTAAGTTCCATCTTACAGCTGCAGATGACAGTCTCAAAATGCCCTTTTCTGTCAATCTTACATGACTCTTACATTATAATATGGAAAAAAAAAGATTGTTCAAACATCCAGCATTAGAAATACAGTTGTGCTTGAAAGTTAACATTTTAGGAAATTATTAATTCACCCTATTAATGAAAATGCCACAAAACTGAAAAAAGTAATGATAAATAAAATGTAGTAAGCAATAATTTTATCAAACAAAATATTCATCTTAAAAAACAAACTGACCCATAAAAAAATCAAAGTACCTTATATATATATATAAGGTACTTATAAAAAAAACAAACTGACCCATAAAAAATCAAAGTACCTTATATATATATATATAAGGTACTTTGATTTTTTATGGGTCAGTTTGTTTTTTAAGATGAATATTTTGTTTGATAAAATTATTGCTTACTACATTTTATTTATCATTACTTTTTTCAGTTCATCTTTTCATATATTTATTGTTTGTAACCTAGACCAATGATATAACTGTTATTAGTTATTATTATATCATTATTATATATTATTATTACTGTTCTCTGATTTTCATAGGTTTGCTGTGATTCAAGTTGTTTTTTTAGTTATGCAGTTCAAGATGTTCCTTATTCCTCAAACAATAACAGTTTTTACTCTGACTATTCCCAAGAGTCTTTGAAAAGAGCATTTTTCAAACTACTTGACCAATCCATTTGTCATCTGCCTCTCTGTTTAAAGTGTAACAAAAGCAGGTCCTTGCAACATACTCTACAGTCACATTTGGCATCATTCCATTGGTACCTTTGAATGAAAGAGCTCTTAGAACTTGATACTCTAAATGGGGACTAGGAAGATTTTCAGAGATTGCTGGGCTTTTTTGGTTATTTTGTCTGGCTATTGTTGAACAGCTGAATGGGACACTCAAGTAAAGTTAAATGCTGGTCAAGCAGATTGGTCAGAACTATTCTTTCCTTTTTGCATAATCTGTTAGTTCAAAGCACTCTTACCGTTAAGAGTTTTGTGGAAAAATATTCATTATCATGGACCTTTTGTCATCCTTTGTAAGATTACAGTTGCTGAATACAGTGTATTTATTGGGATTGGATTTGATAAACCACCGTAAAATATTATGCATTTAAAAAAATAATAATAAATGTATTGCTTATTTTTGTGCCATTGCTAATCAGATGTGTTTCCAATTAGTCAGTCAGAGAAAGACCACTATTGCTATCAAAATCCAACTGAGGAGTTCTGTTTTTTCTTTTATTGTTTTATAGACAAAATACATCATGTTGTAAAAGCTTAGACAAAAAGGCACATACGAAGAGAGAAAATGTTATGGAAAAAGTAACTTCTATGTTGACTGGAAATTAAAGAAGGGAAAGTAAAACAGGCTAAGCTTGCTGATTGGCAGTGGCCACAGGATGTAAAACACAAGGCTTTTAACTCTCTTGTGCCTGCAATGTTTAAATCATAATATTTTTTCAAAGTAGCTAATAGCTCTGCTGAGTTTGTTTAGGATTTGAATACATTCATTCACATAAATCAGGTATTTTATAGGTACTTCTAAAGAGCAGAATAAAAAAAAAAAAACAGTTCTCTGTTATAACTTCTTATGTGATTGTTTTGACAGGTTTTTTTAATTACAATTGTTTTAAAACGAAGCCCGCTTTTACCCTCTTTTCTCTGGCACAGCCTCATTATCTGCCAAAGCAGTTTGCTGAAACAAAAAGATAAAAATAATAGCAATGCATGTTGATTGTAGCGTGGATATGTCAGAGTCAGAAGAAAGCCATAAATGTATTCAATACAGTAAGCTTATTGCTTAAGCTCATTATAAGCTCATTTTTAAATGTTTAAATAGGTTTATTGACTCTAGTTTTTACTTAACACTCCCCTATGAATTTGTTTGTATGGGTCTTTGTTTAGCAGAAACAAAACTATTACAAGATTGATAGCTTTGTTCTTTCAGTTGAATACCGCACTATGTCATGATCACCACTTTTCTAATTTGATTTCCTGATCCAATTGCACTTGAATGTACAATTGTGCATTTAATAAAATAAATCCAATTTAAAAATGCAAAGCTTTTGGGAGCAAAAAGTTTAAACCTTTGTTTTCTTTATCATACAGTAATTTGTAGTTCTTGCATAACTGTCCATTTTAAAATGGCTCAAAATGTCACTAATTACTTTGTGTAATATTTTATTTTGTTAATTTAAAAATATAATTATGTAGAAGTACTGGGACTATGCACAAATTGTGTGAAAGCAAAAAGTAGTAAACAATGAGCTACTTCACATCAGCATACGAGAAAAGCATCTCCACTGTTAAGCAAGACAAATATTTCTATAACCCCTCTTGGTTAGTCTTTTTATCTATTTAAGTCACTTATTAATTTGTTAAGTGTAAAACAATATTTAAAAAATAAGGACCTCTATGATAATTTTAGAAGTTCATCATGATCTTGTCCTTATCAGTCCTAAAGTAGCTTAAATCTAAAATCCAGAGGGCAAAATCTTGGCCACACGTTCTTACAATAAGGTGAAGCTAAATTACTTAAATACCTTTTAAGCAAACCCCAAAACCCCTGATTATCCACTTTTACCATGAATCATTCTGAAGATTTTGCACTAACTTAATGTTTTTTTTTTTATTCAAACTGTTTTTTGTCTGGACTTCACTTAAAGGAGAAGTTCACTTTTTAACACTTTAAGCCCATTTTCTGTAGTGTCCAGGATGAAATGGAATGATCGACACCAAAATTTTGACAATTGCTCCTGTCTCTGCTTTTTGGCTCATGCAGAATCCCCCCCTGGCTGCTTCAGAATGGCTTCCATAGGTCTTTGTCAGACACGTGACTGACACGCCCCCTAGCGCCATTTTTGTGGTGAGCGGAAGAAAAACAAAA